ATTTTATCCCCAACATTCAAACGCCCATCAAAGGCAGCGGCGCCATCATTGCGTATCCTAGTAACGAAGATACCATAGTCATCTGGTACGTATGGGTTGTCTGTGCCTCCTCTTACATTGAACCCAAGGCCTTTACCTACAAACAACAGAATGCTATGATCAAAACCTCACATGCAGCATGAATATCTAGTGACTTGGGCTCCCTGTGTGAAAAYACGCCCGCAAAGAACTTCGGGTAATAAACATTAAATATATTATATTCATCCATATAACATGGCCAAGTGTTACTATATTTTCTTCCATGTAGCATGGCCAAATGTTACTATATTTTCATCCATCTAACATGGTCAAGTGTTACTATTTTTTCATTCATTTCACGTGATCAAATGTTACTATATTACCATAGTATAGTATATCATGATATAGTATATTACCAATGGTATTTTTAAATTACGATAAAAAGCTTTTACTAAATATATTACGAGGTATTTCTTTTTTCAAAAAATGCTCCCACGCAAGGGATGTCAGTCGATCGTGACGCTTTAAGGCCGATTTAGACGGTGCAACTTTTGCCTACAACCATCGCATGCAACATGCCTAAGTCATCCTTACGACAAGGTTACAACTGTCGTAGGGTTATCAAACAATTGTTTTTAATCTCCACGACAGTTGTAGCCTTGTTGTAAAGATGACTTACGCAGGTTTCATGCGATGGTTGTAAGCAAAAGTTGTACCGTCTAAATCGGCCTTTATTTTATCAAGGATGGAATATCTTGAGACGAACAAGTCTTAATAACTGCAGATCAAGTAACTACATGACAAACTTATTCTTGTGCGTATCTCGAGTTTTCTGTTAGTGTGTTCTGTGATCTGTGGCCTCTTTGACACAACATAAATTGTCACCAATGCCATCAACATGAAAAGTTTTGAATGTCCCATTTCCTTTTTAATTGGTTGAAAAAACCTAGATCTTCATTAACTGATTAGAGCGGATTTCGTATGACTGTGCAATAGCACGGATCACAACACGGACACGGCACGGCACGGTCACGGAACCTCGCCTTCTAGGATTTCAAATGAAAGTAAAGATTTTCCAATTCATCACGGCTACGGCACGGTACAGACACAGCACGAACGTACCGTGTTTTTTTTTTTTTTTTTTTTGCACAGTCATACGAAATCCGCTCTAAGCTGAGTTGCCCTCAACGTCTTCAGAGAACAATCTTCAAGATGAACTATTGTTTTGCACGAATCCCTTTAATCCACAGGAAGTGAAAATCGCATAATTAAATTTCGCTACACAAAGCAGTATGTACTAACAAAAGTTTAGGTTTCCTGTAGCCCGAAAAATTGGTAATATGTACAATATGAGCGGACGATCTGTATGTGGATTTACAATTCTTTTCTCTCTTCAGCGCTTCTATTTTACTTTATGCGTATTCAGTGGGATCACAAGAGTGCTTTCAATTTCTCCAAGAATTTTAACGGATTTTAGTTTTATTTTAAATAAGTGTTGGCGTTTTTCAAGCCGTTAAAAACACTCGCTCTCTCGTGCATTAAAGTGCTACTTGCATGAAAATGCCCTCATTTCAAAACTTCAAGCAATACAAATATATGGCTCATTTATATAGATTAAAAACAATTGCGGGAAAATATTTGTTTTGGAATCATCCCACATCAGAGAAAGTTTGATTCAAAAGATGCAAGAATAAAAGGATGGAGTAAATGACGTCATTTACTCCAACATTTTTTGCCCAAATTATTAAGGATTTGTATCAATATCTTCTTGAAATCTGTTGCTTCATGATTTCCAAATCTTTTCTCATGTTTCGCAATTTTTGTCCAAGTAGCCCTATAATATGATATGCTTAACGCTTCGAAAGATGTTCACATATAGAAATGACATCCTGACAACTTTGACAAGAGCATTTCGAAGCAAATGCCATTGTCTGTGTTGACGATTAAAACCGTCGAGTCTATATGCGCCGTCTTATACCATTATACCACCGAGTTTCTGATGCGATTTCTCGGAAGATAACATACTTATAAATCTTATGGATTAGGCTCATTAGGAATGCCATGAATAGCAGACAAAGACAATTTGAATAGCTTTTGTTTCAGAAAGTCTCGGTCTGGAACTAATTGCGCGGACTTGAAATCCCGTCCAGTCCTCATTGTCGGACTTTAAACATTACATAAACTCCGGAATTAAGATGTTCTGAATTGTTATAAATAAAGTACTTAACTAATCTTATTAGTCCTATAAATCACACGCATCAAACTCCACTCGACAAAACAAGCCATTTTTCGCTGGTCTATTGGTCTTTGAATTCAGAGCCAAAGAACTGGTCACTTTGCGGCACTGAGTTTTCAGGATTCTATGCAGTAATCTCGTGACTTTTCAGTTTTATTCCTGATTAAAATGACAACTAACCACTCTTCAAACGCAACCCAAAGGTACGTTTTCCTCCCAGTAGATTTGCGAGTGCGAATTGCATTTTGGTCAGTCATTGGAATATGTGGTGTCTACGGTCTCGTGTCAAACAGCATAATTTTGTACTTGACAAGGCAACAAGAGAGAAAAAGAAAACGGAATGGCAAAAGCAAACCCTTCAATCGTTTTCTCGTCACAAACACTTTTGTACAAAGTCTTGCATTGTCTGATTTGCTGTGCTCTTCAATAACGATACCGATTGCAATTTGTATCAATTTCGTGGATTTTATAGACACGGACTTGAAATGCAAAGCAGTGAGATTCAGCACTTTATTTCTCCCAATAGTAACTGCCAATAATTTATTTATAATTGGAATAGAACGATATTGCGCTATCTTTCATCCATTTCGAGTGCCTTCGTTGCGTAAGGTCAAGATATTCGTCGTAGCCGCCTGGTGTCTTGGTATTGTTGGTACTAGTATGCTCTCAGCAACGTTCCGACTTGATCGCTATGACGTCAGTCCAGAACGGTTTACTTTAGACTGCGTTTATGACAATACAGTTCCAGTTTACAAAGCCATGTTTATAGCAACTTGTGCAGTCTTTTATTTCATTCCCGCCATCTCTTTATCAATCACAAATATTCGAATTATGCTTTATTTCAAAAGAAAAGAAAAGCGAGTCAACATGTCTGCACAGAAAAGAAAATGTGAAAGTACAAGGAGTTATGGAGCAACCACGTTTGCTTCGCTTATAGTAGCATTTATTTTACCATTTGTATTAAGTGTGTCAGTCAATCTTGTTGCGAGGACAGTACTGAGACTAGATATTACTTTCACAACTCACTACATTACAGGAAGGGTTGGAGCAGCACTGATGTATTCCAATGCATCAATCAGCCCAACAATTTTGCTATCAACAATGCCTCATTTAAGAAAGATGTTTAAAGCACTTGTACTGAACTATTTTCCTGGCAAAGACAGACGCATATCTATAAAAAGTACATTTCTGAAGAACGATGCTCAGGTCTTGAAGAGTCTTGAGGTCAGACGGCTGAAGACAAACGGTACAGATCTTGGCAACCAAATTTGTATCAATCAACCAGATCAACATGAATCACAAGAGATTGAAGCCGCCGTATAGTAAGCTTCTCATAATGACGTGTTTTATTCAGAACGGCTCAAGCCATATCGAGGTTAGAGCGATTCAGTGTTTTGACCAGGCCGCGCCATTGCGGGATTCACGCGTAAAAAATGCAATGGTCCATAAATTTAAACTTAATGCGCCTTTTATGGAGCAAGAATTATCCAGAAATAATTACTGATTGATTGCAAAGACATAGAGTACTTTTTAAAGTAATAAAAGTCTAATTATATTGTCAATAAACATGATGAAAGTGTACTGCAAAAGACACAAAAAATGACACAAACGCGAACATGGCCGCCATATTGGATTCCACTTGCTGAAGAGATCTGGCACTAATCTGTGTGTTAACTGACCTTGGTACTTGAAGGCTCAAGTATGGCTTCTCAACCTACTGAATGACCCCTATTTTTTGACCCCCTGAAAGACAATCCTGGTCAGAACACTGCCGTTTAGAATTGGATTAGCGTTAGATTCCACGCTGAAATCCTGAACTATGTACGTCACATTTTCGTCATCTCGAACCAATCAGCACAAGAGTTTATTATGTGATATGGGATTCGTATACATACAGAGGGTGTTACTGGACGCGAGGAAATATGGACTTAACTTGGACTCTTTAATTTATATTTAAGGGTTAGATCTGCGATATCGCTGAAGCTTAAAAAAAGAGAAAGAGCTTAAGAATTATTTGTGACAATAGAAAATCAAGATACTGTTCAAATATACCACAACAGCGATATCTGTACAGTTAAAAGTTGGTAACGTTGGACTCGGAGCCACAGTTGGAGAGACATGCAGTAGACATTGGAAAGGTTCAATGGCAAAGCACTTACGAGATGGACACGAAATTGAAATGGAAGAGAGAATATGACGATAGCAGAAAAAACTGCTCTTAAGAAGAAAAGAGAAGAAAATAAGAGGAAAGCGCTTTGTGACACATTAGAATTCGCAACCAAAATCATTGAAATAAAACTGTCCCGACCTTGTAAAAATAACCGGTGCTTCAAAGAAAGTTGCACACGTTTGAGTAGGCGTCAAAAGTGGGGATGTAGCTGGGGGGAGCATCGCATGTGTTTTCGCAGTCATTTTAATAAAAAATAATGTTTACCTTTCTTGTCTTTACGAAGTTCAATTCGYTGGACTTCATCCTCTTTTTCTTTTGACGACAACTCACTCGGCTGTGAACAGGAAACGTTACTCTATTAGAGTGCAAAACATCGTAAAAAGGTAGTGAGTGATCGCACTTAAAACCGTGAAACTGTACAAACTAAATAGTGCTATTTAGTTGTATTTAGTAAATCGTGCATGCGATACGCATGTAAAGTTAGAGTGAACGCACTTAAATCCGTACAACTGTACAAAATCTAAGTAGTACTAATTTGTACTAAAAGTGGACCTGAAGCAAGACGGTATTGAATTAATGCTTCATTTGTATCAATTCAACACCACCTTTCATTGTCCTCCTTTTAAAGGCATGAAAAGTGAGAGCATTGACTTGGTACCCACCGCTATAGCGTTTGGTTCCACCAGTAGACTTATAGTTTTTTGATTCTGTCGGAACAAATTCAATGCCTCGGCATGAGTGACGTCACGGGTATCGGTTCCGTTTATCTGGTAAAACGAAATAAACATTGTTAAACCACACGTTGTTTAACTAAATTGCTTTCCCTTAAAGTTCTTTACTGTACGCCGGAGCTTTATAGCGATACTCAATGTGACGCAAGCCTTTGTCATTCATGTGCCAACCAGAAGACGATTGGCTGTTCGAACAAAGCGACTTGTGAAAAGCCATTCTGATCATGGTTGGCACATTAACATAAAAATGAGTTTCTTGATAAACAATGAGTATCGCTATAGTCAATAGTCACTCCAACACCACGAAAACTCCCTTTAATTTCAACGTTGCAGAACAAACTGTCATGCATTTCGGTGTAATATACTTTTATCAGCATCCAGTATTCAACGTCTGAAATGACTGGTGCATGCTTTTCTATGACTCGCGCATGCGCAACGAAAACTTTACATCACTTTTGCATGTTTACCTGCAGAATTCTATCACCGGGGTGTAGACGACCATCTCTTTGTGCAGTAGCCCCAGTCCTTAGCCGACTGATGTAAATACTCGGATCACCTTGTCTGACGGGTTTGTCGCGACCTCCCTGAATATTGAAGCCAAGACCKCCTGGATAATAATCGATAAATGTTCGTAAAATTTACATTGACAACGTAATAAACAGTATCAAAATATACAATGTGCCAATCGTCACATCTGGCAGCCGATTCAATAAGCTCGATTTTTTTCAAGTTTAAAAGCTTTAGGGAAGTCATATAGGTCGTACGGGTAGATGTAGAGCAATTTTAATACACAGTACACAGGTCATTAAGTCGCGTCTTTTAAGTCGACCTTTACGATTTTAGGGGACAGTGATACTATTGATCGTTTTCAACCATTATCATGAGATTCAAAGTGCGCTTTCCATTTGTAAGAACTGGCTGGCCAGACCCAGAGAAAATGTCATTATATATCATTCCCATTTAGTTGGGAAATTCAAAT